CCACTCACTTCACAATGAATTGTTTGTCCTTGTCCTTGGATTGCTTTCAATCCACTGATAGATGTTAAAATTTTTGGTGGTGCTGCAATTTATAGAATCAATATATATATGAATGAAACAAATGACATATTTCTGTTTAAAATACATATTCAATAATTTAATTTTATAGTAGCATATTTCATTTACTATTTCATTGGAAAGAACGATAAGAAAACTTAAAGAATTCTAATATCAATTGTTCTAATATTTATGACAAATAATTTCAACTGAAAGTTTGAAATTGTAAAATTATTTTACATTTGAAATTTTGAATGAAGCACTAGCAAATTCTTCATTTCAATTATTTGAGTATTTTCACTTCTTCAATCATTCCTTACTTATAGGTGAAAGATGGCGAAGATAAATTTTGTCATGAAGTGAAAAGTACAGCATCGGGAATATTTGAGAAAGCTGGTGAATTATTTGAAGAAGGCGGTAAATGATTTAATTAAAATTTTGATACTTTTGAGTAAAAGAGCTAATTAGGGAAAAAAAAAATCTTCCATTAAAAATAAATGTTTCAAGAAGTTTAATTAGTATCAATAGTGTTTGAAATTTCATCCGATTGTAGATCAAAAAAAAGGAGAACAATGATGTTAAGCCTATATTTAGGCTTCATTGTTATTCCCTTATTCTTATCATTTCATAATGACGAATAGGTGTGATTGATATTGAGGCAATAGAACGATTAATAATAGCAAATGTGAGAGAGGTATAAAATTAGAAAGCAATTTTGGAACATTTTCAATTTTATTCCAGTCTAGTTGATCAAATTTCAGCTCAGAAGATCAAAGAATTGGGAAAGAAATTTTAAGGAAATAATTTCGCTCAATCATTTCTGGCAACAAACAACAATTTTCTTATATTCTTTATTTTTTTATTATCATTTTTCTTATACAAATATTTTCACTTAATTCATCATTTAATGTAAAATTATGTCATTCTAAATTCAATTTGTAATTTGATTTTAAACAATAATATCATTTATTTCATTGATTATTTTTATATTTGCTTTATTTTGTAATTATTAATAATAAATTGCTAATTAAAAGTATTAATTAGAATAAAGAATTCCTCATTATCATTTCTTCCTTTTAATTATTTAAATAAATACAAAGATTTATTATGATAATGTCACTGAGATAAATTTTGAAACAAATCGAAATATTTCAAAAGGAATTTATACAATGCTATAAAATTCTTTCGTTATATCATTCTTTCACACTAATACATTTCAAAATCATAATCCTATAAAGATTGCTTATTCATGTCATTGCTAATAATAATACATTCAAAATTATGATGGATATCGTTGATATATATTCATCATAGCAGTATAAACTGAAAATCTCATTTATTCATTACCGATATTTTGAAGTAAACGACAAATTTCAACATCTCCATGACATGTGATAAGATTATATGATCGTGATAATTTTTGTTTTCAAAATAATTGTTTAATCATATGACCGATCTCACAAACTAATGGCAATAGTGGTGTTGAAAGACCTTCTCGTATGGTACACTCACATTTGCTTCTCCTCCCCCTTTTGACTAGCGTAAAATGCTCACTCAGATTAGCTATTTGATTTCATCAGATACCGTTCAGATAATGTAGGTAAGGTAAATAACAAATCATTACAAGAAATCTTGTTCACAGAGAGAGTTCAATAATCATCAGCACGGTATCGAAACTTCATCTCTCAAATCCTTAACTACAAACGTTTAACCAATACACCATTTGATGTAACTGATATATGCTGCAGTTTATATATTTTTACATCGAAATTTTCGCTATGATTTTTCATCATATAATTTTAAAATGTAATTTTGTTAGTGATTAAAAAGCGAAAGCGAAATTGTCATATGACATGACTAATACATATGGTACTTACTATATGTTATTTACTCTATTTTCTATTTATGTTTAATTGAATGTGACACATTCAATTACCATATTCCGTTTTATTATTCCATTTTTTTTCCCAGAAATTATTTCTTCTATTTTAAATAAGATAATTTGAAGGTAAAAATAAAGCAATAATTTATGCATTAGATATGCAAAGAAAACAAATAAAGCATAATTTATTCTTTGGTTATTGGTTAAGTTGAATAATTGAAAAAAGTTTAATTTCATTAAAGATATGATGATAATGTTTTAAGTTATTCAAAAAGATTATGTTAAAAGGCAATGTAATTAGTAAAATCTAATCATATTTCACATCGTGTAATGAATTAGAAGAGATTACTCTTCTATTGATGATATGATATAATTGATGATATGATATTGAATTTGTATGGAACATTGAAGAGATTATGATATACAAATATTGGAAATGGATAAATAATCATTTTACAATTTTATTACCTTTTAATTTGATAATATTAATTTGCATATTAAATTCATTACAAAAAATAATTTCAAATTCTGAATAAATTCTGCTTATTACAGAAGATTGATGAAAATATTGAAGCATATAGAAGAAGCAAAAGAATTATGATGTTACATTGTTTTATAGTATTATTAAAGAATTAGAATGAAATGTATGGATCAAACGTCACATTCGTCCAATATCCTCCTCATCATTTATGTAACTAAAAAACACAACTTTTAAATTCTAATTAATACTTCTCTGAAATTTTCAAACTAAATTTGTTAATTAAATTCTAATCAATAACAATTCTCTGAAATTTCAGGTATAATTATTTCACATTTAAGATACTTTAGAATTAAAATTTCTTTAGAATAGTCAATTTGATAGGTTAAATTAAGATACGATATATCTTTTTTTCTGTTAGACTAAAAAAAATGGAGTAAGCGAAAATTAATTAAATTTTCAAATTTAAAGAAACAAAATATTCGATAAAATTTCGTAACTTTTTCAATTTAACCTGATAAGTTCATAAATTAATTTATGACTATTTATTTATATGAAGAGTATAATTTATCAAAATCTTACAGTGGCATAGGGATGACTGTCTGATGATGGTCACTACACATATTATTCTTTCTATCGCATGCATATTCCTTCGGGCAATAGCCATTAACACAAGCTGAAATAAGTTGAGAATGACTTTTGAACAAAAAAATTTAAACATTTACTGTCACCTTTTCATTTCTCAGTTATGCAAAAATAAAATTGTTCAATCGATACACTCAACATTTTCCTCATTTAAAGCTTACAAGATGAAATGACCACTTCATATAATCATCTTTATCGTTAATCATCATTAATCATTAATCAACATTGATCACATCATTAATCATCTGTATCACTTCAACAATTTTCAATGGTTTTAATAGAAAAAGTTAATTTAAATTAAAAATCTGTTATTTAAATTTTTTGGATATAAATTAGTTGTTACGATAATATGAATTTTTTTCAATTATTCGAATATAATTCAATATGGATTAATATCATCCATAATGTTGGCCGGAAATTTTCTCCTTTTTTAGGCATTTAGTTTTAATTTAAAAAATTGCATAATTTTGAGGATGAAATATCCCAGACTATTTAATTCATCGATGATATCAACGTAACAAATAGCTTTCATTGCTATATTAAATAATTCATTATACATTAAATGCTACTACACCTGTAAAATTTCTGTTGCGTTCGTTCTATGATGAAAAGAAAGAAATATTTTTTTTATCAAAGATAAAACTATCGTTTCCTTTCAGATTATTCGATTGTATTCTTCGTAATTGATGGATACTGTTGTAACTAATAATTTGGCAGTTGAATAAGTTGAATTTAAATGAAAAATCGAGCATTTAAATTTATTTCTCGAACTTCATCATAATTGCCGTATTATATGGAAATAAGGTAAAGATATCATTTGGTCAGGTCGTATTAACATCATCACATTTCGAGGCTTTTGTTTGATGATGAAATTATTTAAAGAGCTAAATTATTGAAATCAGAAAATGGCTAACAATTTTTTGCTATTCCTATTAGCTAATAATTTTTACAGCTATTCAATAATAATTACTATTACTTACTTAGCCTACATTTATTTTCTAGTAACTTTTGATGAAAAGTTAAAATAGAGTTTGAAAAAAAAAAAGATAAAATAAAATGCTGAAATACTTACGCATTTCGTTATAATCAGCGTTGGAAACTGTCAACAACGATACGAGAAGAAAGAAGACAATGAAAAACATATTATTATTATTAATTTAGACTTGAATTAATTATTCGTTATTTGTTGAGTAATTACCAATAACTCTTCAACTAACTAATCCTTTTACGTAAAATAATAATGGCTAGCTATTGTTTACAAAAGGATTATAACTATATGAAACCATCGAAATACAGTATTTATTATTTAGTTTGTTCAGCTGTTATCACAGCTATCAAATGGATATTTTATTGCAACTAACAGTTTCACTATACGAATAAAATAATTTAATTCCAGAAAAAAATAATAGAAAAGAATAATAAATGATAGATTGAAATGATTTAGTTTCACATATGTGAAAGGAGATTACGTACGTGCTATCACGTACGTGGTGACGTTAATAATGGCACATAATATTATATTAAAATAATTTACTGCAAAAAAGAATAAATATTTGTAAAGTAATAAATGCCTATTTGAAAGATTATTTCATGTTCGTTGATGATTGTGCAAAAATTGTGAATATTTTTGATGGATTTTAAAAAAGCTGCTGAAAACTTTTGTAAAAACTACAACAACACATTCATATAACTATCGGAATATTTCGAAATATTATTTGAGTTAATGGAAATTTCTCTCAAATGCCTTTAAAAAGCCTTTAAATTTAGATGTATTGAGATATACTGAAAATTCCCGATAATTCGGGTAATTATGATATTGGAATTATCGGAATTTTGAGAAATTATAGAAAAAAAAGTAATAAAAAATTCTATTAGATTGTGATAATTATGATAAAGTATTAAATTTTCAAGGAATGTTTTAGAATCTATAAAAAAATGCAATAAATTTTAGGAATTTTTGAAAACTTTACAAAATTGTATAATTTTAATATATGATATTGTAATGGATATTTAGCATAATTAAATATATCATAGCTATTGGTCAAATTTATTAGAAAGAAAATCATTTAGTTTATTTCTTTAAAAAAAATTATAATGCTGTTGAATTTCAACTTCTTTTCTTAACTGTAGTAAAGTTTAGGAATAATTTCGGTGAAAGGATCGTGAACGAAAGGATAGTAGTCATATATTTACAGATATGTATTTTACTCATTTTTTCAATCATTTTAATTAATCATTTTAGAAATGTCGGCATTTCTTTTGCTAAATGGAATGCATAAATTATCAAAACACTGTAACGAAATTGTTGATTTGAAACAATAAATTTGGAGTGATTTGTTTAAATTGATAAATTCGAAATAATCTATTGACGGATGAATTCGAAATAATCTATTGACGGATGAATTCGAAATAATCTATTTGAAATGGTAAACTCGAAGGGATATATTACTTTTCATTCGTATAATATTATTTGATGATAATTTTTATTAAATACCATAATTGATCATATTTCTGCTTTCAAACAATTCGGAAATAATTGATATTACTACGAACTTCACAGAACAATTATAGAGTCAGTTAACAGAACGGATTAAAGCTTGATAGTATGCATTTGTTGCATCGAATAAAAGCATTAATTACCATGAATGGATGATATGTTAATCAATGAATGATTGATTTCGCCCCCGGAAAATAACAATTATTTCATCTTAAAAAATTTTTCAACAAAATTAAATGTTTGACAAAACTATTACATTTACATCTTTCGTTAATTTTGCTTAATTTCATATATTTTTAATTATCGTCAAACTTTTTCTGCTATTTTTATTATCATTTCATTGCTTGGATGATTTTTATTGATGAAAATTCGATAACAGCTTGAATTATTTCCTTCCGATAGAATACATTGATTGCAATATAAGGTTGCCTTATGCAATATACAGATTGCCAGAAAACAAATCTTTTTATAAGAAAATCAGAGATAATTGAGAATACAGGAAATTATCATCAAAGTTATCAAATGATAAATACTATAACAAAGAATTTACGATGATTCAATTAGGAATGGTTGAAAATTAATAGTCTGTTCCCAAAAGAGTAAAAGGAAAATATATGCATATGTATATTAGAAAAAGATGCAAAAATGATAAAAAGAATTATTTCGGAATCATTTTTTTCATCATTAGGTTTTTATCGATGTAATGAATTATAAAGCTCACATTCTATTAATATTTCTAAATTGATAAAATTAGCAAAATATGAAAATAAGCCAACCAAGCGATGCAAATTGTGCAAGCACAAGAGTGATAAGATGGGAAGGATTGGATGAGCTAACTGCCAAAAAATTATTACTGTTAGCAACTTCTTCAAGATTATCACTTCCATTATCATAATAACTAATATCAGTATCCTTATCAATAAAAACATGTCCACTAATTTCACTTCTTGATCTTTCATCCTGGTTATTTGATGTACTTCTTGAATCAGCAATATACTTGGATGATAATTCTTCGGTATACTTTCCGCTGTTATCATTATTCATCTCAGATATTGAACCCGTTGTCACACCATCGTTGGACCAAATAATTTCTGCCTTATCATTTGATGCTCCCTAAATATTTTAATGCAATTTGCAAATCATTTATAGTTCAAATTTGTTTGCAACTTAAAAACTTTTTAATTAAACTTTTATTTAATTCTTTCTATTTTATTTCTCATATATTTTCATGACTTCAAATCACTTTTATTTCTATTTCTGAGAAACAGAAATTACTCAAAATGTCGTTGTGAACGTTTGTTTTACAGTTCGATTCTTTTTGGAAATACATCCGGTAAAAAAATCGAGCTGTAAAGTAAAGCAATTAAATTGTAATTAACTCATTAAACTATAAATAAAAAGCTAACAAATTAAACGGTAGAGAGAGAAAATCGTAATAAATCATTTTTATTATGCATAAAAGCAATGGTAATTGTAAATGGAAATACTTCTGATTGAGAAGGCGGAAAATTCTCCGTTAAAATGGAATGTCCTGTAAATAGACATTTTGGCAAAAGAGTGTTAGTTGTATCCCTGAGGATTCGAAATATCATTGTCCAAGCTTCAGCACCACAACCATATGCTATCGGTTGTTCAACACAACTGGCAAAATAATTGAGAGCTCTAAAAAAATGATTTTAATTCCTTTCCTAACATTTTTAGTCTTTGATAAACAAATAAGTAAAGAAAGAAAATTTTTTTATCAAATGAGATAGTAAAAAATTTTTGATTTTAATAAGAGAGAAAAGACTAAGAAATCATATTGAAATAATAATAATTAATAGATAAGGTAGAACTTAACAATAATTTGAAATGAAATAAATATTCTTATAGTAATTAATTAAGTCGATAAAGTTACTTAAATTAATTTTAATTCGAAAAAAACAAAAGTTTTATTCATAATTTATGTGCTATTTATTAAATTTATATATAAGGTAAAAAATGATAGATAACTTACTGGCACATTTTACCAAAACGAGTTAGTGTAGCTGTGTTAAGTTGATCATTAGCTGCTTCAATATGTTTTAAAGTAATTTCATGGCATTTTTTTACTGTTGGCTGTCGATCTAATTCAACTAAGCATTCAGCACTTCCCATAAATGCTTTAATGAGTTATCAATTAATTGATTATATCAATTTTATGCTTTCTTATTAGAATCAACTTGTCATATACTTTAAATAAATTCTTTATTGAATCAATTTCAGACATCACATAACTTAAGCCGATATTTGCAACATAAAGAATTCTCTTACTTTATTCATACAATCATAAAATTTCATTGTCAAGAAATAATTTCAGAGAAAAAGTTAATTTTTGAATTAATTTTCTTGAATTAATTAGTCAGAGATTAATCAATCAATTGATCGATTTGTAAATATCGATATCATCAACGATATTAATTTAATTCATTGACTAAACAAATAATCAATATTTCGTGGATTTTTGAAAATCAAAAAAAAATTACTTTCATATCCTTCGTTACATAAGAAACCGTATGAAGCATCAATGAGGCTTACTGTAATATGTTCTGGACATTGTTGGCGAAACTTGTAAACGCATTCATTGAAATTTCGAACTAACCTATAAATTGAGACTAACCGTCTTTTATCCATTTTTTTTTTCAATTTAATTTGGTGATGAAAAAGCTATTAATTGATTAATTAACAGAAAGTTTTACTTAACCCTAATTTTAATTGCTTCATAATTAATTTTAAAATTTCGAATTATTTTAAATATTATTCCGGATCAAAGTCAATTTCATTCAAAATTTCACTTGAAGATATTTCATAGCGATAAAATTTGAAAGAATATTTTCTAAAAATATATTATCTCTTATAATTTTTTAGTATCAAAATAACGAAGCATTATGTTTTTTTTTTTGTATTCGAAAAGAATATAAAATTTGAGTGAAAAGAGAAATGACCTGCAAAGTTCACGAAATACGTATCGCCCAATTTTTGGTAATGCAATCGCTTGATCAAAGCTGTTCTTTACAGCATTTGAAGCATTTTGTTCATCCTTTAAACAATAATTTAAATTTTTGTAAAAGTTAAATATGATTTAGGTAGAATTGAGGGTATAATCTGTGATGGTCAAGTTTTGACGGTAAAGAAAACTTAATTAATAATAATTTACCATTCATTAAATAACAAAAGATTGAGAATGATTGATGAAATTCCGGTAAAACTTTTGGTTATCTTCTTGACCAACATCAGACTATTACTTGTTGTTTCATGGAAATCATTTTATTTCCTTATTTTGATCAACCATTACACGATTCTCTCTTATGTAACTTATTTGAGAGGAAAAAATTCTAGTAAGTTTGTTCGATTTATCGCATGCTAACTTCAATGCTTACATTAATAGCTACGAATGGTTTTTTGATGACAAATGCTTAAATTTGAAATGGTTCAGAAGTCGATGAATGTTATGTTAATTAAAAGATGCTATTGGCTAATTTTTTCCAGTAAGAAAATGTTCGTTGACCACTTATAATTTTTCGAAAAAAAAGTAAAAGCTAAGTTTAGCTAAGATTGACAATCTTCAACTCAAAGTATTAATGTCATACTCATAATAGAATTCAAATAATTCTTTTTAAGTTTTCCGTTTCGAAAGCTATGAGTGACAGACTTCAACAATAATGTCTAAGTCTTTCTTTCTGATTTGTCATTTTCAGAAAAAGAAGGAAGAGTTTTAGTGACAATGACATCCAATTTCAGTTTGACATCAACGAACATTCCATACTGAACAAATAACAAATAACATTGAAGACATGAAAGGGACATTAGTTCATCAGGTACGGTATAGTTTATAATCATTTATGGCTTTCCCACTTCATAGTTTTTTAGTGATTATTAGATTACTTTTGCATGCCTTACAGCTGCATTAATTGTTTGTGCTTCCACCATATGTTGTAGATCGGATTTCATGATGTTACAAAGCAAAAGGATTTCCAACAGATCCCCTTGCAATCAACCAATTTGCAAAATTTGAAAACACTTTTCATTTTTTGCAATTAAAAAGCTTAGCTAATGACCTCTTGAATAGGAACGGGAAGCTTGCCTACTAACCTCTTGATTAAGAACCTTAGCATACTGAGTAATCGGTTGTACGCACTTTTGAACAGCCTCGTTAGTTTTCTGAGAGCAGTGTGATGTTGCAAATTCTGGATGTATTAGCAGCACTCCTGAAATTAAATTTCTTTTCCATTCAAATATAAAATAGATATCTATCAAAGTTTCAAATTTCAAACTTCGATTATTTTTAAATTTTTACTTTTTCATTTTTACAATATTCGATTTAAATACCTTTAAATTAGAACAGCAAAAAAGAAGGAAAACTTTGATATAAATTTATTTTTTGTCTAAAACCACAAGCATCTATTAATGATCTATTTCTATTAATACCGAATAAATAAAGAGTAGCGTTTTAAAAGTTCCAAATAGTTGTCATTTCATTTAAATTAAAATTAATAAAATGGTAATGAATTTAAATTTAATAATGAATGCATACCAATAATGAAATTAAATGAATAGATGCGATACATCTCATAAATACCAATTCCGTGCCATCTATCTGATCCTTATTATTCAACTCATACTAAAGCAAATTAATTTTTCGACAATTCCATTCAATCCTTATCATTTCTTCAATTTCTCTGAAATTAATTATGCTCATAATTAATGAATTTCAATCAAATAAAACGCTTTTAGATACGAAAATTTTCCTATTTGGAACTTAAATTATTAATTTTTTCTTCGTCTCATTTTTTTGCAACGATTCCGATTTACCTTTACTGTAATTACTACAATATTTATTATTACAATAAATAGCTATTAAAATCTAAATGACATAAATTATCAGAAATTACAATTTTACTAAATTAGCCATTTAATTGACCAATAATTTAAATAATTAAGTAATACGTCAAAAACTGCAAATATTATCAATAATTGAAATTTCAAATATGAGAAGAACAGCGCTACTTTTTTTATTAGAAATGAATGAGGGAAGATTCTAATGGAAATAATTTGGCAGATGATACGAGACAAACATAAGTAATGCATAACGTGACCTCATTACTTTTCTTGTTTATTTAAGCATACAATTTACATGACAAACAATAATTTATGTCTTATTTTCTCTGCGACAGTTATTGTTGACATAAAACTACAACAATATGTTCTGAAAAGTTCAAAGGTTATATCACAGTACAAGGTCATATTATAAAGGAAAAATATCACCATGCATCATTTCAGTTTTGGCAAATTTATATGCTCATATAATAGTAGGAAAAAAGAGGTGATATTTTTAGGCATAGCTAAGTTGGATCATTTCTAAATCACTTTACTTCCAAGAAATACTTCCCTTATATTCAATTCTTATTTTCAATCTTTTAAGGAAACCTTAAAATGGTACCTATATTAAACAAAATATGGAATAAGTCCATAAACAAAATCCTAAATACCAATTTGAAAAAGAAATACATAAGGAATGAATGAATCATTTTAACATTAAAGTGACAGATTTCTGGTTTGATTGAACTATAAACTGAAACAATTTTAGCATACATAAATTATTCATTGTTAACTACAATTTTGAATTGAAATTTTGACAATTTTTCAGGTTCATTCATGCATAACAGGTAAATGAAAATGACATTTTATACGGAATGAAATAACTATCAATCCTTTCAAACCTTACAATTCAAATTCATTTTTCAATATTGCCGTATTTTGCATTCTATTACTAATAACAATATTAAAGTTTTGAAATTGAATTTTTATGACGATTATCATTCAACATTAAGTGATAATTCGAATTCTTCATTTATATTTCAATTCTATTGCAAATTAAAATTTTTTAAAATGATTCCTTCTTTAAGTTAACTTAGAAATTACTATGCATTTTAGAATGTAAAAATGGTTTCATTGATATTAATTAATTAATGTGATAGTAAGAAAATGTACAATTTAATTAACTGAAGAGGTTTTAATTTTCTTTCAATTTCATCAAAAAAAGGAAGGAACAATGCAAAATGTAAGCAATGTTTCCATTTCAAGAATAAATAGAAGAATTTGGCCAAGTTAATTAGATTTATTGAGCCTAGGCTTTGACATTCCTTTTCTGAAAGCTATCAACGATCATTGACATCACAATTATAAAAATATATTCGATATAATATAATTGAAAGACAAAAAATAGAAAAGAAAATCATTTGTGATTTTCTGACATTTAATATAATATTGCTAACAAAGTTTTAATACAGAAATAAAAAATATTCCAATGAAATTTCTTCTTAATTAATAAATTTCTAAATTAATAAATTTTTTTTCTTACAAAGTTTATTATTGTATTAAAATTATTTTACGTCAAATGCGTGTTATTTCATCTATTACATTCATTTTATTACTTTCATTTCATTAATGAATGAAACAAATTTACAGTACACATATTTACAGTAGTCATCATTTATATTTGTTCAACTATGCATTGTCACTGCTTATAGGATTGGATAGGCATTGCTATTGCTAATATCTTATGTATCCTTAAAATATGAATAACTAAAATTAAATACATCATTTTAATCCTAAGTTAATTTTCGTTCTGATTTGAAAATTATTTGAAAATTATCAAGTCAAATTGTCTAACGTACAATACGTATCGCTCTCATGCCTTTTATGACACGTGTTACGTGTAGAATATACAAAAAATGCTATTGTTAACGAATATTACTGGCAATGATTATTATTCAGGTCATATTCTCATTCCGTTATTATTCTGTTAATAATAATCATGATATAACGGTAATATTCCGTTATATCATGATTCATAACCGAATTTCTAACCAGTATCACTCTTCCAGAAAGCATTTTAACAATTAATCGATACTTACGTACGTGAATTGAATTAGCGCTCGCTCCTTCAAATAAGCAATATCGTTTTTTTTTGCGCCCCTTTGCGCATATTTACTTCCGCCTTTCCGTTCCATTTCCGCCAATATCTTTCTCTTCAATTTGCACTATCTCTCCATGTGTACATACGTTTGATGTATTTTTTCAACACTCAATTTCATCAATTCAATCTTTTTAAGAGAGTGAAACCATTAAGTTTGTACTACTTATGAAAGCTTCTGTCCATTCTTCCTTCTCACTTTCTTCAAAGGTTGTCATTACACATACATATGCATAACAATGCTATCAATGGCTTATATAAAAACTTCAATGTAATTTTTCTTTTTCTCACTGAAAAATATATTTTAAAATATTTTTAACTTTCTATTAAAAATTAAATACCTGAATGTTCATATCAGTACATTAAAGAGGAAGAGATTTCCAATAGAACCAAATCAAAGAATCAATCGAAACTTTTATTTTTAAATCAAATTTCGATTTTAAAAGAGAAAATTTTTTTGTTAAATTTTTACAATTTTTTTCTCTTCAAATTGCTTTCTAATTCTTTTAGAAGAAGAAGAGAAAAAAAGAAACGATTCAACAATTTGCAACAAATAGAATTCTATTATCGATAAAATTCTCAGTTAAATTGAAATTTTCCAATTAGAAATAAATTTCCTATGCAAGCGACTGAATGCGATAAATGTGAAATTTGAAATTTTAACAAAGCAAAGTGTGACATCGATGACATCTGTATTATCAACAAATGCAAATCGATAAATTGCTAATGTAATTCACATTCGACAATACGACACGGATAATAATGATTCTATCAAAAAAAGCAGTTAACTTCTTTTAATTAAATTTAAACGTTTGTAATACTGTGATAACAATATATTTTTCAATGTAAAAATTATTAATTTTCCCAGATGTTAAAGATATTTTGATATTTATGATAAGCAATATCTAATCATTTTACTTTGATCTATTCAACTTTGTTATTATAATTTATTTTATTAAATGATCAAAAAAGAAACATAAATCCTCAAACTTCCTTGTCAGTTTACTGTTTTGGATAAGTGTGATCCGTAAGATAGTGAGTGCAATACGGTATTTATTATATTTCGAAAACTTGAATCATATCAAATAATATGCCAGGAATAGATAAAATTCAACAGCATATTTAATGACAACTCAGAATGATTGACAAATTTTAGTAGCAAAAAGTAAATTTGCAAATAAAATTTTTGCCATATTTCAAAGTGTAGCCTTGTTTACATTTCGAAGTTTAAGTTATGAATTTTGAAATATTACTCTTTTCGACATAAATATTTCACGATTGTTTCAAACTAAATACTCTTTCGACTCTTTTTCCTAAGGAAAGCCGAAATTATATAAGTAACCATCAGTTACACTAAAGCATTGGATGAATTTGACAGATTGCGCCTTATTTAGACAGTATCATCAAGATGCAAGGACGTTTACTGAGGTTCACGGATAGACGATGAGAAGGGTCATTGGTAGAGGACAAAGAGAGGAATAGAGGATAATATAGTTCGAGGTTAAGCAGATACTGTAAATATATTTTTGATAGGTCAAAGTATTTTTTGAAGCGAAGGTGGTCCTTGCTATTGAAAAAGTAATTCCTTAAATGATAAAATAATGCGATAATGAGCTTGCTAAAACAGCCAGTTAATTAAGGATCGAAGTTAGTTATAAGAAAGTTGCAGGGATGGAATGAAAATAAGATCGGAAATCAGAAATAAAAATGGAAAGATTTTTCATCTTTCATTATAACTAAATTAAAATTATGTAATTGAATTATGTGTATAGTAATGGTAGTGACAATTTCCGGATAAAGAAAGCTTATCATCAATGACAATGAGGGATTAAATATGCTAGAAATTCTCCGGAGTATGATTATTTCTTGGCTATATGATAATTGCAGTTATCAATATTATCAATAATTAATATAAGGATGAAATTTCTCAGTGATCGAAATTGTTTGACAATATAGTAAGACATTTTTAAAATAATATTAATATTAAGAAAAATTAATATTTACATTATTTTGAGAAGCTTATACATTAAGTACTAGCTAGGAACATTTTTAGGATTTAAGGAATGTTAAGGCCTTCGCTGTCATAAATGTTTGCTTTTGAAGAAGCACTTTGATTCCTGGACAAAAAATTGATTAAACTTTTGAAATGAAGGAAAATAAATTTTCAAAGTGCTGGATATATTTTAGAAGTGAAAAAAAAGAGGGACCAATAGTTTGTCCACAAAAGAAGTAATCAAGGGAATAGAAATGAATAAGAGGTTTAATAGAACGAAGAAGAAGAAGAAGGAGGAGGAAAGAATTTGGGAGAGAGAGAGAGAGAGAGAGAGGGAGATTCTTACGAGAGAGATAAGAGTTCTCAATCAGTTTTGTTCGAGGAATGATTTCATCCTCTTGAAACAAACTCGATGACAATTGACCGTCCATTAATGACCATTACCCAGCTTTCTTACTTCATTACTTCATCTTATTCCTCAACCCACTTCAAATCCTTTTCGAATTCAGAGAATTGATCACCAAGTTTGTATACTTTCACTGCAAACCTTTCCAATACATCCTTTCACCTCTTTAGCTATTCAACTCTCTTTCGTCTAT